AGTTGTTTGTTTTATGTTTAATTTACATTTAGTTATGGCTTAACTCTTTCACTACCCCAAGCCTCTGGTTGCGGCTTTCGAGTATGCTTTACAATTTATCTTGTTTTGTACATAAATTTCCATTCTAGACACATAGAATTTGTTTGTTCTAAAGGTTTAATTAATTCTCTACATAATCAAGAAAAAATAAGAGCTATACTGTGCAATTATAAAAAAGTTATCACTAAGTTAAATAATCTTGAATAACCCTTCATAAAAAAACTTTAAATTTTGTTAAAAAATAAAACAGTGTTAACACTGTAAAACTTTACTTATAAAACTTATAAAAGTGTTAATTATTTAGTTAAGTAATTACCAAAGTATTTTGATGAAAAAATGTTATTATTATTCATTAAATGAGGTTTGTTTTGGATTTAATGTTTTAAATACTACTTACAAAAACAATAGTTTTAAGCACTTTGCCTTTCTTATTGTTTAATGATGCTTGTTAAAAACTTTATTATTATCGAATTTTAATAAATTGTTAATATTATGCTATTCAAATGTTATTCAAAAAAATGTGCGGTTGTTACAAAAAAAATTTTATTCTGCTGGTAGCGAATTTTAATGCGATTCTTTGTTTTTATAGTTATATTATTACTATTTCTTGTATATTTTAGTACAATAATCAGTAAAATAAAATTTATTTTAACTTTAATTTAGTTTGATTTGAATGGTTATTAGTAAAATAAGTTGTTTAATATTTATTTTCTACTTAGTTCAGTTTTATTCAAGTCACTCGTTTTTTTTTAGTTTATAGTTTAAATCAATTTATACGCTTTTGTAAAATTATTCTTTTAGTATCTAGTTTATATTTTGTTTAAAGCACTACGTTTACTGTAAATATTCGTTATATATTAAATTTTTACTTTTATAAATTTTATAAATTTAATTTTTAATTGCATCACAAACTTTTTTTGGGATTAACTAAAAAGTTATACAATTAACATGATTTGGTGATTTTGGCAAAAAAATAATATGACATCTTGAAAGAGAAAAAAATTATACGAAGATGTCATATACCAAAACTGTTATGAATTAAACACGCATGGAATAAATTATCAAGTCTGCAGATTGTGGCTAACATTATACAGACTCTGAGAACCGAAAAAAAATGGAGACAACGAGCTTCAACTAAAACGTAAATTTTAAATTTAATGGCATTCATTATATAGTTTTAATCAAAAAAATTTAGCCCAAATGTTTTATTTAAACATTTTATTTAATATGAACACAACATGTCTCGAAGGTTACATTTGAAAAAGATTTCAATAAAATTTTACCTTCATTTGAAACCTTTCTTTTATAACTTAGGAAATAAAAATTAACAATAAAATATTTTTAGTCATATCCTTTTTATATGTATGTATGTATGTATGTATGTATGTATGTATGTATGTATGTATGTATGTATGTATGTATGTATGTATGTATGTATGTATGTTTGTATGTAGGCATGTGTATGTGTGTGTATATACTCTTGCATGGTCCTCATAAAGTTTTTTCTATCAAGTGTGGTTCTAAATTAAAGGCTAATAAACCAGACAGGAAAAAGTTTAATAACTATTATAAAATAAAAAAGACTTTTCTTTGCTATGATAGGTTGCCTGCCCAAACCAAAACAAAAATTTGGTCATGTTTATGATGCTTTATCTGAAACAAATCCAAATTTTTTATATATTTTACCATATATTATGAAACATAAATAATTTTAAAAAATAATAATATTAAAAACTTTGATTGGCAAAGAATGTTTGAAAAAAGATAGTTTTAATCAAAACTCATTGATTTGGCAATTTTCTTGCTTTCTTTTTTTAGCTTAAAAACATAAAAAAACAAATCAAAGTTAATTGATTTATAATTTAGACATAAAAGTTTAACGTTATTATTACAGCAGCTTTTATTTAAGCTTTATAGGTTTCTAAAAAGAACATTAAAACTATCTGATCTAGAGAGCAATCTGATGAGAAAATGATATATTTTTTTCACTTTGTAATTTGGAATGTATTTATATTAAATGTTTTGTTTACAATTTAAAAAAATAAAAGACTACCATATTTTTTTTTTAATTAAACTCAGGTAAACTTTTTCTATTATTTATCAATGCACTTATGAGACTATTTCTATTATTAAAATCACAAATGGAAAATGCTGCTTCAGTATCCTCTTTTACAGTTCTTTCACAAGATGCGTATGAAGAGTATCAAAATGAGTAACCAGATATATTCTGTCTTGAGCAAAACCTATTTTTATGACCTAATGGTTGTGTATCCAAACTGTAAGATTTTCCTTGTATTTTAAATTGTATTAATGGCAAATGTTCTTGATTCTTCATCTGAGCTTGATTTCCTGTGTATCAAGTGGGTTCCATTTTGAATGTAGCAATTTTTTGAACTACAATATCTTGTCATTTCAGCAGTGGCAACAATGTTACTATATGACCTGAACCATCTACAATACAGTGTTTCACTTGATTCACTACAGATTTTCCTCATGTGGAAATATACTTGAGCTACCCATTTGACGATTAAATGAAACAATCGAAGAACGTTGCTAATAAATATGTGATTATTTACATAGAGGAAAATAATACCTTTTTCTGTAGCAAATATTTCCACACTTTTCTTTAAAAAGATGGATGTCCATCTTGCCTGTGGACCAATGTTGTACCAACTTATAACAGATAGCTGTCAAAAATATTTTGAGAACATATATGGAAATCAATAGTGTCAAATGTTTTTTAAGTTCAAATGTTTCAAGTTTTTTTATAAATCTATAGCCCATCCAATAGGTTGATAAAAACTTTTGAATTAGTTGGTCCAGCTCAACATATGCCTCAATGGTAATTCATTAATATGCAGAACAAAGCTCAAATTAAGTGATCGCAAATTGTGATATCTGGAAAGGCTTTCCTTCTTTATATTTTTAGTTTTTTAAAAACCATGAACTCTGTTTTCACTAGACTCTTTAGTTGTTATACAATTAAAAATATTTATATTGATCTTGAAATTGTGATATAAAGCCTCATTATAAAACCTACTACTATTACTATTATTTTTTAAAATTATTATTTTTATTGTTAATTAATTAGTTATGATTTAAGCTTTAACATTTTAATTCATTTTATAAATTATGAGATAAAACTAGAAAAATAAAGCATACATCATGATGCAATATTAAAAAACAAGTGAAAATCAGAACAGTCTAAAAAAATTTAGCAGTGATCAAATATATTAAATAAAAGAAATTGTAAAATAAGAAAATATAATAATTTTATACCTTATTTAAATCTTATTTGATATATTTCTTGAAAATCAAATATAACCGATCAATGATATATTAAAGACAGAGAAATTTAAGAACATATAAAAACTAATTTAAACAACTTATAGTTATTTTTAAACAAAATAAAAAAACTCTAATAACTTACTTTAAAAGATATCTTTTTTATTATTATTTATATTATCAAAAAATTAATTTTTAATACAAAATATTTAAATTTTTAAATAAATAATTTCTCTAAGATTTCCTTTTAACAAAAATTGATAATGTTTCATACAATGCACAAATAGCTTTAGCATAATTTTTTATTGGTTAATTTTTAAATTTTTCAGACCTTTAGTAATATTTATTTTTTTAATAAGATTTTTTTATATTTTTAATGCATATACCGAAGAAAAAATATTGGGATGATCAGATTGTCCTATAATCAAGGTGCACTTAATCTTCTTGCTGTACACGCTAAAAATTGTTCATCAGAAAGAGTTAACTCTGTGGAAGAAAAAAATTACAAAATGCTCAACTACATCACCAATGTAATATATGGTGTCAAATGGCTAAAACTAACTAATACTTTGCCTCAGTATAATTACTGAGGTAAAGTATTACTGAGGTAATACTAAATGGTGTCAAATGGCTAAAACCAACTAATACTTTACCTCAGTATAATTACTGAGGTAAAAAAAAAAAACGTCATTATTACAAATGTACTTACAAATACAGTCCATTTTTTGAACTTTAAAAGACAATATTTAAACAATGAAGGTAGTATAAATATTTTAAATGTTTATATCTTAAAATATTTTTTAACTTTTTTTTAACATCTTTTATTGCTCTTTAGTTGGCTATAAATTTTTTTCAAAAAAAAAAAAAAAAAAAAAAAAAAAATATATATATATATATATATATATATATATATATATATATATATATATATATATACATATTTATGATTTATAATATATAGTAATACATAAAAAAATGCAATCAAATATTTTGAAAGTATAATGTACCTTAATGTACAATTCAGTTATATATAAATAAACTAGGCTTAGGATTCCAGGTTATTCCAGGGTAATTCATCAATAAAACAAAAATAAATTTTTTTTATTTTTTTGTTTTTAAAATATATAAAAACAGTATAAAAATATAAAAAAACAAAAGCGTCATTTTGGGGTTTTTATCTTCTTTTTTTTTTTTTGGGAAATGTTACTTCACCTCCTTAAGGCCAAAAAGGCCACTACAGACAAGGAGGCTACTTAATTGTGGTTATAACCCTCTCTTAATTCAATAACTCCGAAACACGAACCTTGAGGACCAAGGTCGCTGCGCGGAGAAACAAGTTATCTATTAATTTAATTTACTTTTGCAATTTTTTAATTGTTTTAATATTTATTTGACAATTAAAAGTAACTTCATATATGGGTGGTATTAAAGCCAAGTGGACTAACTCAATTTTCGAAATTGTTCAAGAGACAGTTTTTTCAATTAATTATAAATTATATTTAATAAAAAAATAAAAAAATATTTTTTAACAATAATCTGTTGTTGATGAGTTAGTCCACTTGGTTATAAATAAAACATTATTAATGCAGAAAAATAAAAATAATAATAACCAAAAATTGAACGATTAGTCCACTTGGTCTTTCTAATCATTTATATATTAAAAAATTAACACATACCATTGTATATGGAGAGCCAAACATTGAATTACATGGAACTAGACAAATCAAATTAAAAAAAAAAAAAATTAGAATTTCAAAATCTAAATACACAAAAAATAAAACAAAATAAAAATATTACCTACCAATGCAAATACTTGACTGAGGAAGGCCAAGCTAAAAATAGATTAAAATCATGTCAAATATAGAATAAAAAATTGTTAAAAATTTTTATATATAATAATTAAAAATCATTAAATATAAAAATTTATAAACTAATGATGACTACATACCCAAATATGGCTTTTAAGCTCAATTTTTAAAGGAGTAATATTTAAGGTAATTCTATGGTAAATGACCTAACTCATGTCACCATAAGTCTCAGATTTTGCTGATTTTTGAGTTGAGAGTGCTTAGTAAAATGAAAAATTCCTTAAAAATTTTAGCCTCTGGCACCAAAAAAATCTTGAAATATGACCATTTTACGTTTAGCAGATATAGACCCTTGTGTCCCCTCAGAATTGCAAAGTTTATTTAGAGATTTCAAGTCACATAACTTTAAAAATATTCTGTTTTTTTACTTAAAAATTTGTAACTGGCTATTTTCATGGGTGGCGAATCTAATGAAATTATCAGAAACGAAAATAAATATTTTTAAGTATTTATCAATTTAAATAAATTAAAAAAAAATAATCCCTTTTTGATGTACAAAAAAATAATATTTTTTGTACATCAGTCAAACATTTTATTACAATTCAACATTCGGTCATTTATGGGGCTTTATAGACTTTCATTTTCAGTTATTCGTTTTACAGTGCTACCAATACTATCACATGGTGACTTACTATGACTTGTAGCAAAATATATCTACTCTGTGTCAATGTCAAAATCATCTTAATGGAGACAGATATTGTAAAGGTTTTTTGTAGTTTTTATACTGTACCATCTGAACCATTTGAAAAATAAAGAATCTTTGAAATATTAGGGTGATTTTCTTTTAAATAGTTAAATGTTTGAACTTCATACGCAAAACCAATGTCATGCTTATTATATTTTGACATGAAGCAAAACATTTTTTCTTTAAGCTGGTCATTTTTGTTTAATAAATAGAGGGCAATAGAGTGTAACATTGACTTTGGCACCAATAGTAACTTTGGATTTCATCTTGAATCTTGAAAAAACAGAGGACACAGGAACTTCTCAATTATATAAATAACTTTATCACTAATGAGTGCCCAGAGTTGCATGTTAACCAGTTACTGGGTTACCTCTTACATAGAGTTAACACACAAAATAATAAAAGTATTGCTTGTGTTGGAAATGGTACTTATACAAACCATATGGAAACAACAGATATCTTTAGCATAGATAAATCTTTTGCTCTAATGCATTTCCTTACATTAAGTAAAGAGTAAATGAGAAAATTAAGATTTCTTTTTGCTTTAAAGGGCATATATTTTACAACAACCAATGAATTGCTTAAATGAAGAACAAAACTGTGCCCTACAATTAGTAATGTTTTGACTGGAAGAGGTGTTTCTGTTCAATACAAAGAGCTTGTAAAAATTACATTTGATTCTGTTTTGAATATAATTAGACTATTTCCAAACCACAAACCAAATCTGATCAAAAAAGCATATGTATTACACATTCATATATAAATAACACTACCTGGTTTTTAAAACTACTTTATTGGTGTCATATAGATTATAGACTTTGGGTTACAAAAACTGGATCACTTGGTGAACCAATATGTAATGCAAAAAACATGGTTATTACTAAAATAAAAGAAAACACTGGACTGCGATTAGATATGTGTTGTAACTCTGGTGAGAAGGAAGGAACATCTACAACAGGGTCACAACGCCTGAAGAACTGATTTCTACCACAAAATTAGTTCTGAAGAACTAATTTCTACCACAAAAGATCTATGCTCTCCTATATACAAAGATAGCTTACTACTACATTCTCAAATCAGCATAATACTTCTTATAGTTTCTTGTCAGTGTAAAATTTAAATAGACAAATTTAAAGAGACTACCAAGTCCCGAGACATGTTGTTTTCATATTAAAGAGAATGTTAAAAAAAAAACGTCTGAGCAAATTTTTTTTGATTAAAACCAATTAATAAATGTATACCAAGAAAAAACAAATCTTGTTGTTTTAGTCGAAGCTCGTCTTCTCCGTTTTCTCTGGTACTTTGAGTATGTAAAATAAACGCGATTTTCCAGGCGCATTATACAGACTTGATAATTTATTCAAGTGCGTTTAATTCATAGGAGTTTTAGAGCATGACGTCATTGGAAACATTCTAGAAATTCTTTAAAAATTTTACTATTAAATTTTACTCAAATAGCTAACTATAGTTACTTATTTTATTAAAAGTTTATTAACTGTTCGTTAGTTTTTTACAAATCTAACGAACAATTAATTAAACCAAGCACTAAGAAAAGATATAAAAATTAAGAATATACTAATAAAATATATAATTTGTAAATAACTTTCAAAATTTTGACAATTTAAAAAATATATATTATAAAACATTTGTTTTTGTAAACAAATGATAATAGTTTAAAAGTTTTACGGCTTTACAGATGTGGCTCCAAGAATGAGCCATAATATTAAAGTAATAGATCATTTGATAATATATTCTTAAAAAAATTTATGCTAGATATCTCAAAACGCAACAAATCGTAAATAATACAATTCCTAAAACATTTCAACAGAATACTCTAGAACTTTATTTCGCTTAGTCAGCGTGTTTTTTGAACCAATAGAATTTGTTTGTTCGCAAATTTGGCGGGTTTTTAGTGTTCGCGAATGTTCTTTTTATTCTTGCGCAAGATGTTTTAAGAACATTCAAGTTAATTATGTTTCCATTTATGTCTGTAAAATAAAAAATAATATTTATTAATTTTTTAATTTTTAAGCCCCCGCTATAATATATATATTGGATGTTATAATGGAAATATAAATAATGAAATAAGATCACCTCAAAACCAAAAAAATACATTTTTGAAAATCAGAGAAAAAATGCATTAATAATTTTTTTTTTAATATTTACAAAGCAAATGAATAAAAGTGAATTTTAACTATTTAGGTTAAAAATTATTTTATCTAATATTTTGAAAGAAAAACTTATAACAAAAGAAATCAAAATACACGTGGTCTAGACGATTATTTAAAAAAAGTTGCGCAAATAAAATACTATTTTGTTTTTTATTTTATTTTTGTTTTTAATTTTATTTTGTTTTTAATTTTGTTTTACAAACACATTTTAGAACTTTAAAATATAATAAAAATGATATGATTTGGAAATTGTATGTAAAAAATAACAATCATTGTTTTAAACAAACAAAAAAAAAATCTATGATGTCATGCACTAAAACTCCTATGAATTAAACACGCTTGAATAAATTATCAAGTCTGTATAATGCGCCTGAAAAATCGCGTTTATTTTACATACTCAAAATACCAGAGAAAACGGAGAAGACGAGCTTCGACTAAAACAACAAGATTTGTTTTTCTTGGTATACATTTATTAATTAGTTTTAATCAAAAAAAAATTTGCTCAGACGTTTTTTTTTTAATATTTTCTTTAATATGAACACAACATGTCTGGAGACTTGGTAGTCCCTAGGAGTTAAGCAATAATGCTACACTTAACATTATTACAAATATGCCATGGGCACAAATTAACCACACTCTTCATGGAGTCCTTTCAGCTGAGTTAATAATTCTTAATGATGGTTATGGCCTTAGCAATTTATCGGAGAAAGGTCTTGAAGCAAACAACAAAAATATTAGAAACTATTTAAAAATTCTCTCTTGTAAGAGATCACATCTAGAACAACTTACAGATGTAATGAGTCGTCTTTTAGAGAGATTGGATTCTTGTGTTTTACACCGAATTATCCATTCACATCTTCCAAGATTGTGGTTCAAATGAGCATACAAGTAGATCTCGTGAGCATATGATTTCAAAACCAAAAATATATTTTGATGATATGTTTGAAAACCTTATTTATGATTAATTATAAAGTTGTTAACATTTTTTACTATTTTAACTTTTATCTTTAAATATGTGTTGCAAGTTCAAATCATTAAAACTCTTTTCTTATAATTTTATTTTAAATGCAAATTTGAAAGAATACTTGTTTTTAAATACTAAACTTCTTATCAATAGAACAGTAGAAACCAGACCCCATATTATTTAAATTTTTGAATTTTCTTTACTTTAAGTATTTAATAAATTACTTTTTTAATTGTCATCTAAAAAAAAATTTAACTTTAAGTATTTATTAAAAAATGCTAATTTATCAAAAATGACCAAATATGGTAATTTGAACCCAGTCCACAAATTTAGTTAAATATTAAAAATTTAAATTTTCCTATAACAAGCAAAAAAATATCTTTCTAAAAAGTTCTCAATGAGTTTTCTAAGATTTCTTAATCATTAGTTATGATCCTATTTCCAAAACTTTCTTTCCAACTTTTTAACAATGAGCCTTCTGGGCCCACTGTGGTTTGTACACAAAAGCAATGCCATACTCATTATCTTTGTTATTCATATATGGAAATCCAACTTGCAAATCAGAATCTTTATATTTTTTAAAAAAATCAATCAGTATAGAAGGATGTATAATAACTTTTTATTTGTGTGATATCATGAAGGCCACATGGGTTTCTTGAGAATCAAAATCTGATATATAAAAAATTGCATAAATTTATTTAAATTGATAAATACAGGTACTTAAAAATATTTTTTCACATTTCTGATCATTTCATTGGATTCGCCACCCAAGTAAAAAAATCAAATATTTTTAAAGTTATGTAACTTGAAACCTCTAAATAAACGTTGCAATTCTGAGGGGACAAGAGGGGTCTGGCCAAAATCTGTTAAAAGTGGTTTTATTTCAGGACCTTCCTAGAGCCAGTGCCTAAATTTTTTTAAGGAATTCTTATTTTATTAAGTACTCTCAACTGTATAAAAATCAGCAAAATCTGAGATATAGGGTGACATTTTAAAAACTGAGGGTGACATTTTAAAAATTTCTGGGTCCTTTGGCATGGAATTGCATTAAAACTATCTATTAAGTCCTTTTTTTTGTTAACTTTTTTTTTTCTGTTCATATTGAATTTAAATTTTATAAATTTTATTAATAGAGTTATGTAGATTGTGTAAATGCTATCAATAGAATTATATAGATAGTAAAAATTTTATCAATAGAGTTATAAAGATGGCATAAATTTTATTAAATTGATATTTAGATTGCAAAAATTTACCATTTTCGAGATGTTTTGTACTTTAAATGACAAAAGGACAACTGCCTAGAATTTTAATTATTTATAAATTAGCAATACTAACTTCTGAGCGTAGTTGTTGAAGTAGAGAATCGGGAGCAATTGCACTAATGTATATTACAGGTGGACGTGTGTAAAGAGCTGTAAATCCATCTGTTGCATATTTAGAGTACTTTAAATGAAGAGAGATTCTACAAACTTATAAAACAAAAACAAATCAAAACTTATACTTTTTTCATTTTTTATTTATAGATATAAAAAAAATTATACCATTTAATAAACCCTCGTTTTTTGTCCGGTGAAAAATAGAGAAAACATCGTCTAATCTAAAAACAAAACTACAGCTTATAATCAGATTAAGCAACATCTGATTGTTGACTTAAGAATTTACTATTAGCATGGATATATAATAAATGTAAATTAACGTATAGTATAGTCTTTAGTATTTTAAATATTGATTCTACTTGTTTCATGTGTGTGTGTGTGTATATATATATATATATATATATATATATATATATATATATATATATATATATATATATATATATATATATATATATATATATACAGCATGGAAAATAAGAAATCATAGGCAAGCGGTTAATTCGACCGGCTAACACATGAAATTGACATTTTGGAACAACAATTGTTTTTTTGTTGTTTTTTTTGAACGATCAAAATTTTTTCTTTATTCAAATTTTCATCTTAGTAATAGTTCTTTATGACTAAACATATATACAACAACTTAATGCTTAAAAAATAATTAAAAAAATTTATTAAAAAAATTTAAACTTAATACTAAAAGTTTTATGAAATGCTACTTTAGTAATTACTTTTTTTTTAACTTCCAAATGGAAGAAATAAAATTTATAAAGATAACAATTAACAGACAACTTAAAAAATTGCAAATTATATGAATCAGGAGAACAAGAAGATTCCAAAGTACTGACGTTTGAGAGGGGGAAAGACTGAATAAGAATTTTTGAAGCACTTAGGAACAGTCACAGTAAAAGGATAGGACTTATATGAATGACAAGTAACACGATAATTAATTTTAGTAGATAGCACAAAAGATGCTAGCTCTTTAGAATAGCACCCATTACTATTTATTTACATACTGTTTATTGAAAAGAGAAAGAGAAGTAATATTGTGACAATGTGGCAAAAGCTACAAAAAATAGATGAAAAGTTGAAAGAAAAAGAAAATAAGCGTACAGTTGGAAGAGAAAATGTTCTTAAATACATACAACAATTTTAAATAATAAAATAAGAACTTTAATTTTTTAAGTTAAAAACGCTGAGAAAAAAAAGGTGCACATTTTAATTAGTTAATAATGTTATTAAATTTTATGCGCAGATACTATTTAAACTAAATACTTAATATTAAGAAGACAATTGTTTTATGAAAATAAAAATTATACTATTATTATAAAAATTATTGTTACTCAAAATTTCTTTTTTTAAGAATCTTATTATATAAAAAAGCAAAAGCTATTTGCTTTCGCTTATTAACCATTTTATTTATAAACCATTCATTTATTTGCGGCAGAAATTTAAGAGAAAATAAATAAAAAGATTTAAAAAAAAAACCAAAACTAAGTGACTAAGTACAGTTGGAAGAAAAAATACAATTTCAATTCAATAATTATTATTATAATATCATTAAAATAATATATTGAATATTTTTTTCAAAATAAAAATAAAATTAAAATTTCAATCATTTATGAAAAAATAATTTTACACTACCAGTAAAATTAAAGCAATTTAAATAAGTTAAGCAAAAAAATATGTGTGTGTATGTATGTGTAAATTATATGTGTGTATGTATATGTAAATTATATATGTGTGTGTATGTAAGTGTAAATTGAATATTAAGTAAAAAGTAAAATAAGAAAAGATTTCAAAAAAATCTGAAAATTTCAAATTTCAAAAAATTAAAAAGTTTAACAAACAAAATAAAGTCATTTAAAAAACTAAATAAAACAAAAAAATATCTACCCAAATAATTTACTAAGCCATTTAGTTGTATCTTGTTTAACTTGCTGAGAAAGTTCTGAAACTTCAACTGATGGAAGAAGTTGTAAGTAACCTTGAAAACTATCACTAAGAATTGAAATATGATTATACGTGTTTGGCAGAGAAGATCTAATAAAAAGAAAATGTTTAACATGTTAAAAATTTTTAAATTTACTTAAATTTTAATCTAATAAAAAAAAAGTTAGCATTACTTAAAATTAAGGTTGAATATTTTTTTTTTTAAATAATCAACCATTTTTTTATTTTAATAAATTTAAATGTTTTTCAATTTTATTCACATAATGCACAATGTATTAGAATTCACTATTACTGGACAAAATTAATAACTAATTTAGTAGGGTAATCCAGTGCTAATCCAAATGCTTGGCCAATCCGAACGATTTTTTTCTTTCTGATATTAAATATTATTCAAAAAATTAAGTATCCAATTCTTTTTTAACTTGTTTTATATAAAGCTACATTCTATATTCTTGTTATGACAATATATGATATTTATTTTTTCAAAAATACAGCAGTTTCGAAAAATATTTTCGTTTTCCCTTTAAAATTTTTTTTTTTCAAAAAATTAATCATTTATTTAATTTTTTTTTCCAAAGATTTACAGCAAATTCACAATAGATGCCATTTATGAAAAAGAAATAAGCATTTTCTGCATAATTTTATCATTGCATATATCTATAATACTTTAAATACAGCCATCATTTTTATTAGGAATAACTCTAAAACACATGTTACCTAAAAAAAACATCAGATTTAAAAAAATGATATTAACAAGCTCTTTTCGTCACATTAACTTTTGTTTTTGCTATTTCAAACATAACATTTTTAAACCAGGCTTACCCTGTAAAAATAAAATATGCCTCTGTTTAAAAATGTTTGTAACATTTAAATGACACATGAAATGTAAAAAAGAAAAAGTTTTTTTAAAAGCTAAAAAGAAAAAATTACAAAGCTTTAAAAAAGTTTTTGTTTCAACTAGCTCTGGACTATGCTACCCTATTAGGGCTATATATCTGCTAAATTAGATTGAGTAATAATGATTTCCTTCATATGAAGGTGTTATTTTTTAATTTTGTTGCTATGGATACCTAATTTTAGATAACAACATTTTTTTGGTAATTGCAGATTTTTTACATGTGCTATTTCAATGTTTGGCATGAATACCAATTCATATTGGTTGCACTTCTCATAAAAGTGATAATTTTTTATTTAGTTGCTATGGATACCAATGTTGCTTAGAACCAGATGACATCCTTGTTTACATAGGGGTAAGTGAATTTTTTTTAACTAAATTTATATCGAACTTTTAACATATCTGTTTTGAATAACAATTAAAATTTAGGAAATTAATATTTTAGCAATAATAAAAACAAAAAATAGTGGAAGAAAACATTGACAACTTGAAACTATATTAACAATTTATAAAACAATTGAAGATTGTTAAGTAATTGTAAAACAACTGAAGGAATGTTTTATGATTTGATTATTAATAGGTTCACAGTAAAGAAGGAGTCTAATTTTCAGATCAGTATTTATTGTTCTTCTGGATGTTTTCATCTAAAAATTTTTTAGATGAAAACATCAAAAAAGAAAAAGGGCGATAATTCTAAAAATTTTGCAATAAATTTATTTAGCGAAATTTTTTTCTTGCCTCTTGAGATACTTCAGAACTCCTATGGGTAACATAAGTCTTTGAATTATATCATGTTCATAATTCAATACTTTGTGCACAGATTAAGCCATGTAATCCCATGGATAAGAGGATACATATAATTGATGTCATACATAGGATTTTGATTAATTTTCCTGACTTGTTTAGAATGGAAGCATTAAAAATATATTAGACTTTCTGTTATAAAGGTGTTTGATTTGTATAACAATAAAAAAAAAATTTTTAAAACATTGCTTTTTTTGTAATAATTACTTTATTCAATAAAAATTTCAAACATTAATAATAATAAAAAATAATAATAAAATATTATATTGATTTGATTAATATTCATAAAAATATGATTATAATAATTAAGTATAATTATTATAATTAGCAAAATTTATTACTCATATTTTTAATTCATTTATTTTATTTTTATTATTATGTTAATTCACCTTGAAAAGGCCTTTTTGGTGAAACCCAAATATGCTGCCTTCTAGCCACTGTCAGCAAATTTAGCGTTTCTCCCTTCTCAATATTATTTGTTAAATTCATGATTTTCAAATGTCTTCTTTGAATTTTATTAACTTCCTGCATTAATTTTTATGTGTTTTTTATTAAAATTTTTAAAAAATAATTAAATTTTCTTTTTAAAAGAATTAAATAATTTTTTAAAGGGATTAAATAACTTTTTAAGGATTAAATTACCTTTTAAAGGGATTAAATGATTTTTTTTAAAAATTCAATTACCCATCAAAAAGATTAAAAAACTCCAAAAACCCTGTATATTTATACATATAATAAATCACATATTGCATTGAATTGAGATTCCTTAGTTATTAAATTTAATTTTTTCTTTCAAACTTTTGTTGTAACAAAAAATTAAAAATACTAAAATAAAAGAATAATAATAAAAACTATAGTAAGTTGCTATTTTTTCTTTTTTAAAACAAGCAACAAAAACTAATGTTTTCAAATAATCACTTCAACCAGCTGCTCATAGAAACCTGCCAACATTTAATTATTTTGGTCATTATGAATATAGCTCTCATTAAACTAAATTATTTGTTAAATTATTAAATCTTGTTAAACTATGGCTGAACTATTAAACAAACTAGAAAACAAAAAGTAATATATAACTATAGTATTTCATTATTATATTGAAACAAATAATACAATATTGAAATAAAAATTGAAACAAATAATACAACAAACATATCAACCATTTTGTATCTAAAATGAGGAAAGTAATAGGTTGAATGTGATTTAAGATTTAAAATAAAAATTTTAATAAAATGAAAGATTTTATAACTTGTTTTATTCATTTTAAAATATAAAACTAAATTACCTTTTTGTTGATGGCAAGTGAAGAGAAGCTAATCTGTTTAGTATCTCTGACAAGCTAACACCTCTAAAAACATTTTTTTTTTAAATTGATAACAAATGTAAGATTAGAAATTAGAATTAGAAAGTTAAAAACGTTAAAATAATTATTTCAAATTAAAAATTTTCGATTATTTCCGTAAAACACATTTTTATGACAAGCAACATCAAAAACATTTTAGTGACAACAGAAACTTTAATTATTAATTTTTCTTATTAAAAGCAACAAAAAAAGGAATTAATAGTTTATGAAAAAAATTTCAAATTAAATAAATTTGGATCTACATTTTGAACATAATCTATAAAGTTGTTTCATACCAAATTACATTTTTTTTACCGAACTAAAATTTATAAATAAATTTATTTTTTTCTAAATATCCACTTTTACATTTACTAACATTTAGTAAATCAAAAATTTTGGTTATAGTGTTATATAGTGTTACTTTTTCAATTTTGATCATTCTTATATTTTCGCAGTTTAACAACCAAAATAAGTTTAACAATTAAGACAAAATTTTTCTTTTATTCCCAGGCTCTTATCATTGCAATCTTTTGCAAAGCATTGCTATTTGACATAAGTTTAAACATAAATGGTTAGAGTTCCATATTTTGAAGTTTGTTATCTAAAACACCAAAAAACATAGTTGTATGATAATCATATTTTACAACTTTTTTTTTCTCCTGTGGAAAAGTGTTTTTAATACTTGTTGGTGCTTACTCCACTTGAATATTAACATAATTTATTAAAAACAATTATTTATTGATTATTAATTGATAATTATATATATATATATATATATATATATATATATATATATATATATATATATATATATATATATATATATATATATATATATATATATATATATATATATATATATATATATATATATATATATATATATATATGGGCTGTTCTGGATTCTATATATCAATCAATTATATATTCTGGAAAAAAGATCTAATTTCCATGGTCGCCTACAAATAGTTATAAAAACTAATATAAAGTAAAAACCTCTTTGTTGATATAAAACAAATATACACATATAGTTATAATAATAATAAAAATAGCAATAAATTAACAATAGCACAATAAAATAATAAGCTGTCCATTAATTATGTCAACAAAAATTATAAAAACCAGTAACTAAAAGAATTAAAATAAATCATTACAATATTCCATACAATAATCAATTATATATACATAGTTATAGTTACAAACAGTAATAAACTGACAAAACGTAACAAATAACAATGACATAAAAACGATTGTCGATAAAAGACTACAAAGAATAAATATAATAATTTTAGTTTTTATAATATAATAACAAAAATATAATTTAAATATAATAAACAAATAAAGAAAATATAAACTAAGAAACACTTATTATACATAAAATTAAGGTTAATAAAAGTAAAAAATGCATTAAATGCATACACAAAAATACACGACATATAAATATAACAATAAAAATACACATCAATATAAACAATGTTTAATACATTGTTTATGTGATGTGTATTGAAACAAAAGTTAAAAAAATTTTTTTGTTCCTTTCTTTCAATGACATTATTGTTTCTAGCAGACTAACGTATTTCATTTCGTATATATATATTTTTTTAAATTTTACATTTTCGAACTATTTTTTCTTTTAACAAATCTTTTTTTTTTTATTTGGTACGTTATTTTGACTTTTATCTTTATTTGTTTATATCTTTTGGTCTTGTTTTTACTTCATTTTGTTTTATAATTTGATATTTTTAAAATGGTATTTTGATTTTTTTTTTTCTTTATTTTATTTCTTTCCTCTTTTTACCATTAAATAAAAACATCTTTTTCAACAACATTTGCATATCTTAGAGTAAACTTTTGAGTATCTAGACACATATATATATATATATACAGGGCTTGCAATAAAGAAAATTGCTCAGCCTGTTATTTTGCGTTCATAAATTTGTAATATACTGTCATATAGTGTGATACTGCACGCTCTGGATAATTACCATGAGAGCGATCATGAGATTTGAAAATTGATGAAGACCACACTTATAAAAAGTTTTCTATTTGTTATACAACGTTCTTTTGTTGTTCTTTCTTTTTTTTTTTTTGGAAAAATGTTTTGAAAAAAAAGTAGTATCGACAACAGCGCACTCATAACACTAAATCAATAAAGTAACTCCTTACACTTCTTAACTGCTTTTTATTTGAACCTAATCACAATTTTTTAAACTATTTTAAGTAAAACAAAAATGCAAGTGCTCATAAGTTTTTAATGATTTAATATTAAAGAATAAATTGCTGACTTTTGTTGTTTTGATAAACTTATTTGATAATATTAAGCTAACTTAATTAAGAAACAGTTAACAATTTATATATTTCTTAATTATTTAAATTTAATCAAACTTTTTTAAATAAGTTCGTATTTATTTCACGCTTTGTTTTTTTTTATTGTTAAAAAATTTAGAGATTATGCACAAAAAATTTAATTTATTTTTTCATTTAATTTATTTTAGAAATTACACGCAAGAAATTTAATTTAAGATAAATAATAGATAATAAAAAACCTATACAATATACAAAAACGAATTTGAAAAATTTAATTTATGAATATTTATTTTGATTATGAACAATGTGTGGAATATTACAAACAGCAAATCAAATAAATCTTGATGTTTTTACAAAATTAAAAATATTCTGAAGTTTTAATTTTTTTACAGTTACTTTTTATTCACATTGTGTTTGTATAGTAATTTTCTATTCACATTTCATTTTTATATTCACATTGGATTTGATAAAAATATATAGCAACATTCATTTCTAGAAATTAGCTGGAACAACTTCAAACTGTTCATTAATAATGTTAGCACAAAACAGAAACACAAACTTTAGATTAAAGCGAGTGAATGTAATGTGAGTGATGTAATGCTAATATTTTATATCAGTGCTTTGTTAATTGTAATTCAAGGAAGATAGAACTTTACTGTTAAATTAAACAAGTTTTATCTTTAACAAAAAAATAAATTCTTATAACATAATTAAATAAAATTAAGGTTTTTTGAAAAACTATTTATTCAGTTGATACTTTGCTTTAATAAAAATAGCTTCATCTAATAAAAATAAATTACATCTAACAATGGGACATGAAGCTCATTAAACAAATGTTTAATTGACTTAAAAAATTAATATAAACCAAGTATATAAAAATTTTAGGGTTTACTTAAAAAAAGTTTAAAAAATCCTTTTTTGAGTACTTTTGGTTAAAAAGTTAACAAATATGTTCCGTAACAACTTCAACTTTTCACACAATATTATTTACTATTTATTTATAATGTATAAAAAAAATTCAACTTCAAAAAAAAATTAATTAAAGGGTCCCCTGAACTTTTTGTTTTTAAGTTTTGTCTATATAATGGTACTACCGCATATCCGCAATGTACAAACGATTAACTTTCGACACAATAACTGAGATGCGACTTTGTAAAAAAGCCTTTACATGAACAGCTTTTCAACTTAATAATAAAAATATTAATTACATTAGTTTTAGATATTTTAAAACTTTAGTGCCTTTATTGTTTAAGAAAATCTATAGTAAATGTAACTTTTTTAATGTACACAATGTGCATGTAATGTACACAAAAGTAATATATGTTTAAATTAACTGCTAAACTTATGCTCATGTATTTAAAGAAATGCCTTTTACAATAAGACACTATTTAAAATCAACTCCTTATTTTTGGATAAAACTAAACTAGGTGAACACAAACAAAGTGATATTTAAAAATCAAAATTGTGGCAAAAGAATTTAACTAAGAAAGGGGAGGGTGGGTGGAAGAGTTACCTCATTAATATTTAACCCCCCCTTCCCACACACACTCAAGCCTTGTTTTAAATAAAAAATGCTTAAAGCATTAGCCTAATGTGAATTTGACATCATAAAATTATTTATTTTTTCTTATTTTTAAAGACATTAACTTTTTTAAATGCATTATTATTAATTACCATAAAACAACATTTTTGCAGTAATTAATAATATTGCAGCATTTTAAAGGGATCCCTAAGTGCAGGCTTGAGAGCGATCGCTCCCGCTTCCTGACCAAGCCTGTAAGTGCAATAAAGATATGATCTCATATAAAAGAGCATTAAAAAAAAAATATTTGATGTATATTATTTTTTCTAAAACGTTATAATGAACACACACTAACAAATTTAATTTTCAAAAAAACGCTTTTCTTCGATTAAAAAAAAAGCATCTTGTCCAATGTTTATTGACTCTATTGCCTCAAAAAACTAACGTTTGTACATCAAATTAAACAAAGTAGACAAAATGTCATTATTGCAAACGTATTAGTTGGTAATTAAATTTAAAAGTAAAGTCATTTTTTTTTAACTAAAACATAATTACTTACAAGAATAAGTTTTGTAGCATTTTGTCAAAATATATTTGTATATTAAAATTTTTTAATAATTTTTATTTATATATTTGTGTTATAAGGGCAATTCCACAACCAAAAATGAATAGAAGTCAAATTTTAAACTCTTTTTAGTTAGTTTTTAACAAATGAATATTGATGTAGACACATAAAAGTTAATTTAAAATATTTCATTGGTACAAAAATAAATTTATTTCAGTCATTTTTATGGTTTCGAAAGTGACGGTTATTCTCATTTTCGCTTGATAAAAAAAATAATTATTGTAAATGTTTTAGTTAAATTAACATTTATGTTAATTTTGTTATATTTTTTTGGTTCAAATTGATAAGGTTGAATAGACATTTTATTAGAAATTAAACTAAGACAGGGCTCGAATTAATGCAAAAAAAATCTGATTGCAAAAAAAAAAATTTTTTTTGCTCCCCCCCCCCCCTCTCTCTCTTTTATAGCTCGCGCCAATGAGTGGTAATGGGGGGAGGGGGTTGCGTTAGTATAAAATTATCTCTTTAGCACGCAATTGTTATCTTTTAACATACTATCTCTCATATTTAAATGTTATCTTATGATTTTCTTGTTTGGCGGAGTTTATAATAGCGTAAGCTACTGTTATAATTTACAGCCTAATTTATAATTTAAGTTTATGTTGCAGTTACAGTGTAATGAGCAAGTAACGTATTTAATACTATTAATTAAGTAATTGTTTTTACTTAACATGATACTTAAAAAAGTAAAAGTAAAAAAATAAGAGTAAAATGCAAACATTACTATATTTCAGTGACAGATCTAGGTGGAGGATGGAGTTATGCATCCCCCCCTTCCCCCACCAGAATCTGAAAGTCTTGAAAATATCATAGAAATTAAGGACCTTGTTTTTTGCTTTTTTTTTAGGAGACGCAAACATGGTACAAAATTCAAAAATATTTCAACATCCTCCGCCAAAAATTCCTGGATTCGTCACTGCAATATTTAAACCACTTTAATCAGTTATAGAAAACTGTTTAATACGATCATGCTGACGATAAAACACGTGTTTTTAATGAGTATTTAATTGTTATTGAAAAAAGCTATAAAACAACAATAAAAAAAAAAGTTGTCTTTAAATATAAATAGCTTGTGTTAATGTAAAACTTCGTGACGCTGTTTTGTTGCTGTTTTATACAGTTTAATAACATAAAATGTGTTTAAAATAAAACAAATCAAGTAAATGAAATTGTTTTAATTAATAAATTAAAAAATTATTGTCAATAAATCAAAAAACATTGTCAAAAACTTAATAAAAAATTAGATAAAACGTTTTTTATAATTTATTGTTTCTTGAATAAAGGACTAATAAAAGTTTAAATATAATTAAGTTTTCCATTTAAATGGTTTTTAAGTTGATTTTTTTATTCAATTTTTCTATTTCAATTGTTTTCCAATAAAAAGTAAAACAAAAAAATTTGGTTTAATTAATCGAATTATACTTCATGTTTAAAATAAGGCTTTAAAACGTTTAAGTAAAAAAATTGCTGGTTTTTATTAGCATTCTTATACTGTTTGAAAAAAAAAAACTAATAAAAAAGAATTAACTAATAATATATTAATTAATAATTATTAGAATTTATAATAATAATAATAATTAATTCTTTTTATGAGTTTTTTTTCAAACAGTATAAAAATGCAAATTAAAGTCAGCAATTTTTTTGCTCCAACGTTTTTAAGCCTTATTTTAAACAGTTGAAAAAAAATCTCAGCGCGAAAGAGCAAATCATCTATTCAGAATAATAAATTTTGTTTATGATTCTGAATAGATGATTTCTTTATGATAAAAACGTTCTTTATGATAAAAATATTACTTTTAAGAATTGTTAAAAAAATGCTAAGCTAGAAAAAAAGTAATTAAACAACCAAAAAAAAAAAAAAAATCACGAAAAGATTTTTTTTAAGAAAAAACTAATCCCGAAAGTGTGAAAAGCAATTGCGATACGCTTAATACGAGCCCTGTAAGACTTTTTTTATAAGTTCTAAACTATTTATAACTTTTTTTAACAACGTCTTTCAACCGAATTCTATTATACTGTTTTAGCAAAACTAATTGAAAATACTTGATTAAAACTTAACTATTTAATCACGAGTTTTTTTTTTTAATTGAAAATCAAAGGAGATATTCTAAAGTTGTTGTGACGTACTAACGTGATTTTTAACGACTAACAATTGAGTTTCAATGGTAAAAAAATAAAATCAAAATGGAGTTTTTCAGTGATTTCGGCAATTGCTTTTTGTTAGCATGCATTTATTATTACAATTTAGTGAAAAAGAAAAAAAACTTACATATTTTTTTTTATGCTCTTTCATATGAGATCATATGTTAGGAGCACTTAGGGATCCCTTTAAAAAATGACTGTAATATTTTTAATTAATACAAAAATATATAAATGTTAAATAAATGTAGAAATATTAATATGGATTGTTTATTTTCTTTAAATTTTTTTTCTAAATAATTAAATTTAACATTAGATTAAAATCTAGATAAAAATGTTTGATATAAACAAATTTTTTTCTTTTCTCAACATTTATATAAATATATAAATTAAAATTTGTTAAATTTTTTTAAATTATAATTTCTTAAATTTCTAATTGCGTCTTTGCAACTAAAAATGTAAAAAAGTAAAGTAAAATAGCTTTAGGCATAAGTAAAATAGCTTTACGCATATGTATATTATGCATGTAAATTACACATATGTAAATGCTTATGCATATGTAAATGCTTTACGCATATGTAAATGCTTAGGCATAAGTAAAATGCTTTAGGGGTCGTCCATAAATTACGTAACGCAAAGTTTCACAAAAAACAAAACAAAAAAAGATCAAAAGTTTTCCCTCGCAGAGTCTTAATTCAAATAAACAATCAAAATAGGAAATTAAGTTAAATGAAAATCGCCGCGTTAAAGAGCCTAATATCTCCTACTCCTGTTCTTAAAATATTTTTTGCGTTGTGTAACTTATGGACAATCCCTTAGACATAAGTAAAATAGCTTTACGCATATGTAAATTGCCAGCAACTTAACACTTTAACAAAGCTAGCCCCCCTCCCCAGCTATTTCTCCAGAAGAAAAAAGGCATCTAAAAAGAGTAAATAAACTTTGGGTTTGTCACGTATAAAGCATATTATGCATTTGAACAATTAACTATAGTTTTATGATATGAATTAAAAAATTTTACTTACCAAAAAATTCAAAATATTAAAAACTTAATTTTAGTATATATTCATATTCTTTATAGAAGATTACAAATTATAAATAATAATAAATAAATTATAAATGTATACTTATATAAATTATAAATATATACTTATATAAATTATATATTATAAATATATACTTATATAAATAGTAATTAAATATACTTCTATAAGAAGTATATTTAATTACTATTTTTTCACTCTATCACTTTTCTCTTTATTCTATATTGCACCCCTTCATCTCAAGACTGCACTCTTTACAATGTTATTTCTGATTAAATTAACCAACCCCTTTCTCTTTATCCTTTAGCCAATATCATTGTTATTGATGACTTAAATGCTCATGCCAAAACAATTCTCCAGAAAACAGACATCTGTTTTCTATTATTAGAAACCATTATAAAAAGGTTTTGTCTTATGCTAAAGCCCATTATTCTCATGTCACAAAACCTTGTATTTCATCTCAGAAATTAAACTCTTAGATATTTAAATAGTGTCTATAAATCTGCTATTCCTCCTCTCTTGTATGGTTCAAATTTTGTTACCTCACTTAAAAACAAAGCTGAATTGTTTGCTAATAACATTTGATCAATCTCATCTCTTGAGTCCACTAATCAAATCCTACCTGATATAGCTGACAAACAAGTTGATCCATTTTTTGACATTTATCTCACTCCAGCTTTTGTATTTATGTGATTTCCTGCTTAGACTTTTCTACAGCTTGTAGTCCGGACAACATACTTTATAGTCATGCAGACTCATGCAGACCGGACAAAATACTGTTATAGTCATGCAGAAGTGTTCTATGGAGCTGTTATAGTCATGCAGTTATAGTCATACAGTTATAATCATACATGCAGTTATAGTCATGCAGTTATAGTCATACTGTTATAGTCATGCAGAATCATGCAAACCAGACAACATACTGTTATAGTCATGCAGAAGTGTTCTATGGAGCTGTCGTCTATACATTCAAAACTATTTAACAAATGCTTACTAGGGTCTTGTTTTCCAGCCTGCAGCATCTGTTATCCCTATTTTCGAAAATTCTGGAGAGTGATCTGACTCTTCTAACTACCACCCCATTAGACTTTTTACTATCATAAACAAGGTTTTTGAATCTTTAATTAACAAACACTTAATATCTAATAACTGATGCTGGTCTTCTCAATAAATTCTCTTCTTACAATGTATCAGGTAACATCTTTAGGATTTTTGAATCCTTCCTTACTAATCATAATATAAAAGCTGACCTCAATAGACAGCACTCTTCTTCATTTCCTGTAACTTTAGGGGTTCCTCAATGTTCTATCATTGAACTAATACTTTTTTTAATTTAATTAATGATCTCCCAGAAATTCTTATATCTATAATGGCATTGTTTGCTGATTATACTAACATTTATTCTTGTTTTGATAAGAAGCCAACACTTTCTGATTGCTTTTCTGACTCTGAAGGATCTCACCTACTACAGCACAAGGCTCTCAGATGAAACTCAATTTTTTTCTAAACTCAGATAAAACTCAATTTTTTTCTAAACTCAGATTAAACTTTTTTTCAGTTAATCATTGTTGCAACAAATTTATATCACTTTAAGAATTCATCACACAAGAGTGACAAGAGTGAAACTTTAAGAATTCGTCACACAAGAGTGACAAGAGTGAAACTTTAAGAATTCGGCACGCAAGAGTGGCAAGAGTGAATTTGTAAAAATTTTAAACTTTGTAAATAATTTATAAAATAACTTACTTATCAATATGAAAATCATCAACAGCAGTATGGTGTGTGGTCAATGGTGCAGCATGGTGCCTAAAAAAGAAAATTTTAACACCTTTTAAAAAGTATTTTTTTTTTTTTTTTGAATAAATTAGAAATTACTTGAGTCCATATAATTTGGGTGTTTCTTTCTGAAATTAAGCACTTTAATGTGTTAATGGGTTCATAAGTTGCCATATTAAAAATTCAAATTCAGAAAACTTTGTTTTTTAAGATTTTTCAAAAAACTTCAAATGTTTAATTTTAGAAGAAAAAAATTTCCCTAAATTTAATAGAATATATATTAAAAAAAGACCAATAGCAAATGAAAGCTATTTGTTCTCAGCTCATTTATTATCATTCAACCATTAATGGTGAGTAAACTTAATAAAATTATTTAAAGAGTTTTAAAAAATGCTTAAAATGCATTAGGTATGTGAAATTAAATTTAAAAAAAACAAAAACAAGATCTTCCATAAAAGATGCTGAACAATTTACAAAATAACTAAAGTTACAGTCAACATTATAAAATTTTTATCAAGTATTCAAAATGAAGAACAGGAAGCTAGTGTTTTTTTTTTTTTTAACTGATTATTGGACTTATAAAATTCATTTTCTTTATATCTTTTTAAAAAAGTTATACAAGTATATAATTTTTTAATTATTAGGCAAGGCAAATAGTGCTTTAGGATATAAGAATTATAAGCGTAATATTTTGTTGTTGTTGTAGGCTGACATTTTATGTTTTTTTTATGGTGAATGGTGAAGAAGCCAAATTTTTTGTGTTTAAAGTTGCCTAATAATTATTATTATTTTTTTTTTCAGCTTCTAATATTTTTAATAAAACATCTTTTCTACTAAACTTTTTATTAAAATAAACTTTTGATTCTGCAAATTAATGCATTTTTGAAATTATTCTGTTTTCATGAAAAAACAAAATATGATAAGACTTTAATATCCTTCTAATTTTTCAAATCTTAATTAGAAGGAATAAAAACACATACATTTATTACAGAATAAAGAATATCTAAATAAAAATTTTGATGTAAAAATAGAATATAACTATAATATATAACTATAATATAAAAAAATAAATATAATTTATATTAACAGAACGGAACTATTGCCTCATCAAATTATTTAAATCAAGGTTAACCTGCAGCCTACAAAAACATCTCAGTCACCATTAAATGTTAAAAATAACAATTTGTTAGTATTAATTCATAACTAATTGGTCAATTTTTTTTTACAGCAGTGTTTTGCATTTTTAATGCAAATCAAATTTAAAACCTTGTTGTTGTTTTTAGATTACACAGTTAGTTAGCCCTTGGATTTAGGGTCTGCATTCGGCAATGCATACATAGAAGTGTTTTAGTTCAGCAAAAAAATTGCTGACCATGTTTCTATGTTTTATGGTAATATAAACCTTTGTATATAAACCTTTATACTTTTTGCTGACTTGATGCTGACCTCTAAAAGTTCACGCCAGCAAAATATTGCTGACCTCATTTTTCCTAATTCTGAGGGCTGGTTAGTTGCATATATAAAAATTCAGACTTATCTGTTAGGTATGTCAAGATATGATTTTTATGGAGTATAAAACTGACAAAATAATAACATTTTAAAACTATTAAACAAAGGTTTTGATTTTAAGGTGTTTTGAGTTAGTTTAAATGCTCAAAAAAAAAAAAAAAAAAAAAAAAAAAAACATCAGAATTTTCATATTGTAACATAAGAGAAGTTAAATCTTGTTAAATATGACAAAGTACTTTAAAAATGGATGACAAAGTACTTTAAAAATGGATGACAAAGTACTTTAAAAATGGATGACAAAGTACTTTAAAAAGTACTTTAAAAATGGATGGTACTGAAAAAATAGGTTCAAAAAGAAATCAGTTTTGAGTATATATCTGAAGATATATAACTTGTAGTCAGACAATTTTAATCAGAATAGTTTTATTGTTGTGAATGCAAGATAATGTACTAAAGATCAGTTAAATCTGAGAAGGTATAAGCCAAATTTTTTTTTTTAGTAAAATAAAAGATCTAACATAATTTTAATGCTGCATTACAATAGTTTAAGTAGACAAAGAAAAATTATAAATATAGATTTAACATTTTCTTGAAAATATCTATAAATATATATTTAATATTTTCTTGAAATTATCTATAAATATAGATTTAATTTTTTTTTGAAATTATCTATAAATATAGATTTAACATCTTCTTGAAAATAAAAAAGCAATTTCTATTTTTATTATTTTATATAATTAATAACCATTAGAATCAAAATTATAAAAATGATAAGAAACAGAAAAATTTATATGCTATTACATAGTTTACACACGCTAGGGACATTAAAACAACAGTTTTAAGGTGAGTTTCCACTCATCCATTTTTTTACAGGAACGGGATAGGAAAGGAAAAAATAATCACGTGAGTATGCGCAGTTTTACTTTGGACAAATTAAAACTTATAATACGCATACCCACGTGATTGTTTTTTCCTTCCCTTTCCTGTTCCCGTGAAAAAACGAATGAGTGGAAACTCACCTTTAACCATATCACATCATGCTGTTTTCCATTAACGCTCTGTGATATATAAATAAAGTTAAAAATTACAAATAAGTTAAAATAAAGTCTAAAAGATATAAAAACAATTAAAAAAGACACATAAAATGAAAGTTTGAAACAATAATAAACCTAAAGTTAATTGATTTTACATTAAAAAAAAAGAAAAGAAAAAGTTAACAAGTATATAAAAGCTTTATATAAAATGTATATTGATTGATAAATATAAACTAATAAAAATAAATATATAACATCTAAATAACAACTTTGAATATGAACAGAAAAGATAGGACTATAAAATCTTCTTCATTCTTTATTTTTAATTGACTGGTAACTCATTAAAAGTAAAGTTTTATCATCTTCTACTTTAACAACATGCTATTATCATAGATTATCCTAGTGATATTTTTAAAAATCCAGAAAATTATTTGAATAAAATATCCAGAATTTCTTTTCCCTTATATTCTTTTTAATTTCGCTTTTAGCTAAGTTGTTTTTAATTTTTTTTTTACACTTTTCATTTTTCTATATTTCTATAATGAAAATTTCTATGAGTGATGAGTGAAAAAGCTTAAAAACCAAATATATTATAAAAATATATACTTCAACTTGCATGTATTGAAAATGTTTTGAATATCCGGAAAAACTAAAAGTTAAAAAAAATATCCAGAATTCCGGAAATATCAGGAAAAAGATAATCCCAACATTATGATCAGAGGTTATTTTGACTTAACAAATATATATTTTATTTACAAATATAATTATGTGTTTGAGTTGTATAAATGTTTGTTTGACACAAATATAAAACTAATATTACATCTCAATTAAATCATAAATAAAAACTAAACCTATATTATACGCCTATATTATTGGTGTCCCAGTAAGCACAAGACATTTTAAACCCCTATAGAACATATTAAAAAATTTTTATACATCAAAAGCACATCTAGTGCTTAACCATCCTGGGGTTGAGGAAGATAATAAGCACTTGTTGTTTGAATTTTAAAAAAACTTTTTATTGTTATTTAGTTTAAATCTAGTTATTCTTTGCTTTATTTTTTCGCAAATGTTCTCACACAGCTCTTGTACCAGTGATATTTTCATTCGTAAAAATTCTAGTTTTAGTTATTATTCAGTTTAATTTTCGTTTGTTGTATAAACTTTTTATCTCATTTAATTTTAATGTAATATAATTTATAAATAATATAGGCATATATAATTAAAAGAAGTAGGACTTGTTGCTATAAGCAAACACGAAAATAAGAAAACTTAATTAAATGCAACATTATATACCCAGTGCCATGGCTAGGGATTCAGAGCCCCCCCCCCTCCTTTCTTTCCAAATAAAAAACACAATAACAACTTGTCATTATAGCTCCAAAATTTTAAACAAATTTTATTATGTATAACTAAAAAAAAAAAAAAACTCAAATTTGGCAATAATAAAAACCGATGAATAGTTATTGTACTGACTTGAATAATTACTCATATATTTTGCAAATAAAAGGCATAATGATTGTATGATTATTATCTTAACTAGATAAGAATTAGTTTTAAGAAAACTTTTTTTGATGACACTGACACTTGATTTCTCCGCCTATTAGTGAGCAAGCCACAGATTAAAGTCTTACACTTGAGTTGCATGAGCTGCAATGAGGTCTTTAGCTAATAGTGCAATATGTGGGTAAACGGCACCCCTTATTTTAGAAATTTAATGCATTTTGGCACATAGAGCTGTTCCTTGTTTCAATAAAATATTTGTTGAGCTGATTTTGTGCTCCATTACCTGAAACAAGCTTTATTTTATCTACTTGCTGTTTTGCAGTTAAAAAATTTCCATTTCATTAATGCATTCATTGCCGAAGCAATCTCAGCATAAACAGCATAAACAGCAGATTTACCTTAAGCACTTGCTTAAGGTAAATCATGTTACAATGATTTTTTGGACTCTAACAAAATGTATGTATATGCACACTCTCTGATTTGTGTATGCTCAATATCTAAAAGAACTATTACACACCTGGGGTCAAGGAAACATGCGACACTTGGCAGTGGATTAAAATTTGGATCGGTTGGCTGCAAAAGTACTGCATACATCTGCAAGTATTTTAACTGCTATGTCTTTGGCATCTCCAAATTACTCAAGGTGGCATTCTAAATTTAAGTATCGAAGGTATAACACTGGATAGAGAAAGTGCATCCATTTGTAGATTATCAATTTTATTGGCAAAAGGTTCTAAAAGATTGACAAAATCCTGAAGCATTATCCATTCACTATTGGCAAGTGAATCAATGTTAAGATCACCAAGCACTTCGTTGATAGGTATCTTTATTTCCAGAAATTTCCAAAATACAAGTAAGTGCTGTTCCATCTTGTAGAACAGCTGCTGATCACAGTCCCACTAATTCACATTTTCCCCACTAATTCACATACCTTCAAAACTAAGACGTGATATTTACCATCATATACAAGTTCTACAACTA